ACACGCCCCAGGTGTTAATGAAATTGACAACTTTGTGAAATGTGGAAGGCACTCGAAGGGGGTTTTGGTTTAACAAAAAATAAAAATTTATTTCTTAATCATTAGAGAAACAGATTCTTACATAGTTACTCGTGAATTATCGGATTTATCCAATCTCGATAGTTAAATTATAAATTTTAAAGTCCTCGCCAAGGCTCAGACTTTAAAATTGATAATTTAACTATCTCGATTGGATAAATCCGATAATCCACTGGTATCAATGTAAGAATCTATATATATATATATATATAAAATACAATACTTCCATGGAAAATGTTTATCTCAACGTTAACTCTTTAAACTCATCCTAACCTCGTGGCTAACCACATACATTTTGTTTTATGTTCTGTGTTTTTTGGTTTTGTCACTTTTTCGATATTTGGAATGAGTTGTTTGAGTTATCTCTCTTAATCCACAAATGAAAACTAGTATTTCAAAGTTATTCTGAGAAGTTATCAGCTAGGTTGAATTAAAACTATCATTTCAAATTTTAAAACCAAATAAAATTGTTTTTTTTTTTTTGTTTTTTTTTTGTGTTATGGCATTTTATTCAATCCCGAATATTTTCTTGAAGAACCTTGAAAAATTTGAACGTATTCTGAATTTTCTATGCTATCAACGGCAGAGAACTGCTTTATCCTCGATATGTGAAAATCGGTTTTGTTTTCTTTTTTTACAAAGTCTGGTTTCTGTAATTGCTTTCCATTTCCAAATAACAAAAAAAAATATATAATTGATTAATCATAAGCAAAATAACATTAAAGGGATGCATAGTATAGTAAAAATAATACACTGTGAGTTATCGTAGTTTGCAGTCATCGCCTTCAAGTAACAAATAATAATAAATTCATTGTTATTTTCCATAGAAGAACAGTACGTTCACACTACTGTTATTGCAAGTGTTGGTAAGACCAAGAAAACGTCAAATTATTTAAATAAAATGAAATATTGAAGAACTCTTTCTTAAAAAAAAAGAAAGGGGGGGGGGGGGGGGTATTTGATATTCTATTACTAGGAAGAATTTATTTACAGATTGAATATCAATTTTGATCTGAAAATTTATTTTCAATTTTATACACAATTTCCTGCATTTTGTGTTGCGGAATGATATTCATGTTCATCCTGTCTAGTGTAAGATTGTTTATTTTCAGCTCTAACCAGACTAGTCTATTAATTTCAAAATCCTCCTGCCTCCCCCAAAATCTAATGGGTGTCCCTTTATAGGTAAACAGAAACGATCAAAAATCTGTCATCAATACATAATTCTCCAGATAACAAAAATAAAACACCTAATTATTAATATATATATAAAAAAGAAAATGTGGTATGATTGCTAACTAGATTACCAGTGATGAGGTTCCGTAGTGTTTCTAATACTTCAATAACATTGTATAAACATTTGATTGACAGAACTTGACCGTATCAATGATATTTCTGTTAATGTCACTTTTTGGTGTTGTTTTTTTTTATATGTCAACCCTTCCCGTAGTGTAATATCGGTCACTGGACGAACAATTAAAACGTTCATAAAAGAACATTTAGTCTGAGAGAACATAATTTTTTGACTAGCTTTAAACTAGCTTTCACGAACTGTGAGGACTCTTGTTTCGGTTGGATGTAAGCAATTATAGGCAACTGTACGGCATTCAACAATGAGAAAAACCATACCGTATAGTCGGTTATAAAAGGCCCCGACATGAAAAATATGAAACAATTCAATTGAGAAAACTAACGGCCTAATTTATAACAAAACAATCAGTAACGAAAAACAAATATGACAGACATGAATAAAGAATGTGGCGGGGTTAAACATGTTTGTGAGCGCTCAACCCTCCCCCCAAGCTGGGACAGTGGTGTAACAGCACAACACGAGAACAAACTATAAAAATCAGTTGAAAAAAGGCTTATCTCATCAGATCGATACAAAGCAGAAAAACATCAAACATAAATACAGACCGGAACGTGGCACGGTATTTATCCACCCCTCATCCCTAACATCAAAAGGGACACTAAGTACAGATTTGAAAGAACTCGCAGTTACTAACAGCTAGTTCAAAGCCAATAACAACTAATAAAAAAAATCATGTATCTAAGACTAAAATATCAATCAGTATATACATGCAACATCCAATGGATTTAGTATAAAGACGTCATAAAGCTAGGATCGACAGATTGTATTTAGTGCCTTTGAATTGTATGTCGGGACCTTTTATAGTCTACTATATACGGTATGAGTTTTTCTCATTGTTGAAGGTCGTACGGTGGCCTATAATTGCTTACATCCACTTAATTGAACTCTTGTGGATAGCTGCCTCATTGGCAATCATACCACATCTCCTTATTTATATATATATATATATATAAATAAGACAATATATAAATAAGACATAGGACGATCTAACATTATATATGATTTTTATAAAAAATAGTGTTAATCTAAAATTTATTGCTATACACTTTATAAATGTCCTTATCTCTTTACAGTTAGAAGTATATATGGCTCCGTTATTTACAAATGTTAGTGCCTGGGGATTTTTTTTACCCATGCAATGAATTACTGAGACAATAGGCGTTAATTAACATTTTACAATTTTTTTACACCCACTTGCGTCAAACTGCGAAAAATCCTTGGTCATGTGTCAGCTATATAGGAAATTATTGTTTCTTTTAATCACTTTTACTCAACTGTGAATTGTAGTATTTATTCAAAGGGCATAGTGTGATAAACTGTGCTAGTCCATACCAGCTTTTCCTCATAATAAAGGTATAGTTGAGGAATCATGAATGATAAGGAATGCCCGAACATTTATGCGATCAAAGTTTATTTGGAATTCAATGCGCACAAGCTTGTATCCAGTGTACTCAGCTGAAAGGGCATACAGTCTTATCATGGATCATTTTGTGAATATATGGAGATGTGGGGTATAAGCATTAATGAGACAGGTCCCGTATGCGTAAAGCTACTTAAGTTCAGATATCCAATCGTAATACTAATTTATCGTAGGACATGTAGAAAAATCCGTCCGTTCGGAACAAATCTTAACTTAAGTAGCTTTATGCATACGGGCCCAGATACCCAAAAGACATCTAGAGGTCATTATATACTTGTCTTCAACAGTCAATAAACAGATGTCTACAATTTGACAGGCTGTTAAGTCCCCGGGCCCCGGGGACGGGGGGGGGGGGGGGGTCCAAATCCAAAAAAGTAGGGAACATATTTTTACATAAATCAGGCCGTTAGTTTTCTCGTTTGAATTGTTTTACATTTGTCGTTTCGGGTCCTTTTAATTCTTGCTATGCGGTATGGGTTTTGTTCTTTGTTGAATACGGTGACCTATAGTTGCAGTCATTTGGTCTCTGGTGGAGAGTTGTCTCAATGTCAATCATACCACATCTTCTTATTTTTATATTGACTGTATTGAACATAGACTATCAAGTGTAATAAAGACTAAATTTCATAAAAGATCGCCAATATCGAAAAAAAAACAAAAGTTCCCCCACCAAAACAACACTTAAAAATATAAGATATATAATCATGACAAAAGATATCCAACATTGTGGTTTTTCACTTGGAAACCAAGTTGGGCGGAAAGGAAAGGTGTGACTAAACGTTATAAAATGACGTTACAACGATAGATAACAAAACCCATGACAATAATAATGTTATTAAAAAAAAACTATTATAAAACTATATAATACTGTACCAACGAGAGCTCAGACTCGCTGAAAACAATCTCAAATTAAAGTACTTTATTTTCCAATATGAAACCATTCAATCTTGCACTCTAATACCGGTGAATGTTCTTGGTAGAAGCATCGTCATACAACGATGTTTTCAAGTTGGAATTTCCAGAACAATCTTCAGAATTTAATGTAGAAAAAAGACATTTTATTCTTTTTTTAAACCATTAATTACTGATTTGATGATTCTCCCCAAAAATATCAGACGAAATGACAAACAACACTGAATACTTTATAGAAAACTTCTTTTTTTCAAATATTTCCTGTCAGACTAGTTTTCGGGGATATTTGTTGTCAATGTGATATCAGGAATACAGACAAAAGAGAATTGAACAGTTTTTATGGTATACTCATCCTGTAAACGAAACTTGGAAAGCTGGGAGTAAAAAGTAAAATAACAAAAATACCGAACTCCAAGGGAAATTCAAAATGGAAAGTCCTATATAAAATGGCAAAATCAAAGTTCAAACACATCTAACGAATGGAAAACAACTGTCATATTCCTGACTTGGTATGGTTTCTTATGTAGATAATGGTGGATTAAACCTGGTTTTATAGCTAGCTAAACCTCTCAATTGTATGACAGTCGCATTGAATTCCATTATATTGACAAAAATTGGGGTACAGCAGTCAACATTGTAATATAATCTTAATCACTATAAAAACAAATAACTGTTTCAACGACGAAGAAGTACAAAATGGCATATAGACAAAGTACATAAGCAAAAATGAACTTATTTATCTCAGATTTGTCTTGTACCGGCAACAGCATCAAAAGAGATCAATATTTATTTAACTCTCAAATGAAAATAAAACAAGGACTTGTATTATAAATCCTTGGATAAAGTAGACCCGCCACTTATTTTCAGTTAAAAGATTTTAATTATCTGTTGGTTTGTAAATTAAAACGGTAAATCACTACTGCATACTACAAATGTTTTTATTACAAATTTTCATTCAATACGCGACCTCGTAGTTGGCTAGGAGCCAACTATTTCCATGCGTATTTGGCAACCAATCAGATTTAGGAGATATTCAGACGATTCTATTGGAACAGGTAAATTGGGTTAACTTAGGAAATTAGTGCCGAGATAATTAAGACTTAAGATAATCGATATAATCGATAATTAAAATCATATATGATTACCTGTAATAAACGGTCGTGGTCAATTAATAATCAAGAACATTTCGATTTGACCTATATTTTTGACAACGTGTTATCCCTATGAATGCAATGATCCGTTTACCAATAAACATTGTCAAATCTTACAACTTCTCATAGACAGAGAATCTGCTGAAGCAAACAGAAAACATGTGATAGTGAAAAGTGAGAGAGGACAAATTTAACAAAGAAATTATTTATATTAATGGTGCAAAGAGTTGGACAACTGGCCCATTTTAAACCAACAGTTGAGGATATTATTGAGGGTTTTTATGGTGCTAGATTGTTCACATGTCGACCAAACGGAACATGCTTAAGTTCCTGACACACAAACTAAAATCTCAAACATTAAACGAAGTACAACCTTACACAGAAAAGGTAAGCTGTTAAATGTAATAAAGAAATTCAAACGTAGCTTAGTACATAGTGCAGATTTCAGAATTGAATAGTTTTACATGTCATACCTTTCAATGTACACCTGTTTCAAGTGCATTCTATAGAAGTAACCATAAGTGTATTCAAATGGTGTAGTAGATCCCATATAGAAAGGGGAGCTGTTATTGCCTATTTGATATCCAACCTCTGTCCTCAGAATGAAAGAGGTCCACATGTTTTTTTCCTCACTAGCCGATGTGTAAAGCATGCTCTTGCACTGATTAATAATTACACGAATGATAGCGTAATCCTGTGTCTGTCCCCTCTCCTTTAAGGATTACAATTCCGTTCCATGACTACCAGCTGAGGAATGATTAACTCCTGGCATACTTGTTCACTGTAGAATTTAATACATTGAGTTGACAATAACTTATTTGAATATTTTGTGAAAGAAAACTTTAGAATGCAAGAAATGTCAGTTTTTAATAAGTTAAAAAACCAACAACTATTTCAATAATTGTAAAAATTGACCTTAGAAGAGACATGTATAATTTGAAATTCTAGCATTTAATATTTTTTGCTGTGTGAATGTTGAAGACATATATGCATTTCATTCCTTATTTTTATTTAGTTTCATATAATTTAAACAATCTTAATTTATTTAAGTAAACTCAAATATGCTCCATTGTGAGTAATGGTATGGAATAAAAACCCTGTTGGTAGAGTAGTGGACACAGAAATATATGTTGTCATATCTAACTGTTTGATACTACATGTAGATCAACCCCTGTAATACATGTATGAAGCAGGCTTATTTATTTTTTACCTTCAAGATGACCTATCTATCTGGAAATTATATTTTGACCGCAAATTGATTGAAAATATTGTTCTTTTTTTTTAGTTTTAAAGGCCCCAGCCCAGTTCAAAATGGCTAAACTTTTTTTCCAATTGGAGACTCTGAAGTGTGTGAATTTTCAGAAATGCATAAAGGTCAAAAACTGTTATTCTAGTTGATCTGTAGCTTTATAGGTGTGCAATAATATTTAATATGTCATACTGGTGATCAATTTATCACCTGTTTCTGTAGTGTACATGTACATGTATATGCTAATAAGAGAAATAATGAGGGTAAAGTGAAATAACCATATTCAGTGTCATTGAGCATATTTAGAAAATACAGTGTACAAACAAATGTACATCATTTCAAAAGAAATGACCAGATTGCAGTTATCTGATAAGCTGCAGAACTGTAGCGCTCTCTTATGGTCCTTATGACATCACAGGTGACTCACCGGCCAACTAATACATACATGTACTACAGTTAGTTCTTTTCACTACAATAGAATTGCATAGCAATTTACTGTACATCAGCTCAGCAATATACATGTACAGTACATGGTTTCCTCTGATGTTATTCTGTTCTGAAGTAACAATCATAAATGCCATGACCAACATCACGATATATTGTGAATGGGGCCTCATGGTGATTAGTAATATTATATAGGAAGAAAGAAATGATATAATATGAAATTAGATATTTTTTATTATTGGGTTTTCTGTCATAAAATGGAAAGAAAGACAAATTTAATGAAAATCAAAACAGAAATAACTGGAGATTTAATATAATTAGATGTTGAATAATACATGTACAAGCATGGGTTAGTTATGTAACATCAGCAATGAAGAGTAGAGAGAATTTAAAGGATTAACTTTGTTTATTAAAGTTCTTTCATTATTGTATTTATTAGACAATTTAATCCTTTCCAATGTTTATGTGTCATGTTTTAGTTGTCATGATGCAATAAACAGGATGTTTTTATGTAATGAATTTTAAAATTGCCATGATTTAAATTGCCAGCCTCTACATATGATGGCAGATGTTTATATAACACTATATTTGGTGGCATGTCATGATCACAATTTTTATTTTTTTGGAGCACTCAGCTGTCAATATCATTCACATTATTATATATATAAAAACATTGTCCATATTAAAATTATAATCATTATTTCTTATATTTTTACTTATTATATATATAAATACATTGTTCATATTGAAACTATTACCTTTACTTCTTATATTTTTACTTATGATATTCACATCATGGCAGTGTCTTTTTTTATGTTATTTCTGTTGATGGAAATAATAATAATTTTATTGTCTGCCAGTATTTCCCTGTATTTACCACGAACCTGGTCAATGCTAGTATCTGACCGCTTTTTTGCCAACCTAAGCTTGTTGTATGCACGAAGTACAACACAAAATGTTTAAAATTGAAAAAAATCCAGATGGAACAATCACGCTTTCTCAAATGTGTTTTGATCCTTTATGCAGAAATTTGAAAAGAAACCCCTACTGTTTTAATTTTATTGTCACTGAAATGACTGAGATGATGAATTGCTACTCATTAACGCATGTCTTTGTATAGTTTAATTGCCTAAACCTGCAAGTTTTGCTGATAAATGATTAAAGTTCTATGTTACATGTTAGTCTGGTGAACATTGTATGTACCATCTGAGAAAGTAATGCATTCTGGATAATTAGTGTACACCAAAATGTTGTGGTTGCCAAGTTGGTTAATACCAGTGTTATTTTAGGGGTACACAATCTGATTCTCATACATATCCTGTGTCCAAGGTTTGCTTACAAGGACATGAAAACGCTCCATTCTACTTTCTATTTTAAAGACCGTTCTGGAAAATTCTGGTTTAGTCAAATTAATTCACAACTTCAACAATTTTAAGGCTGGATTTTTCATTGGTTTATGTTTTAATAACCAGAACAGAAAGTACATACAATGAAATAACTTATAGTCCTTTAGATTTAGAAGTAGGGAACCCAGTACATGTAGATTAAAAATGAAAATTACATTTTTTTTATGAATTTTATTTGTCAAAAGCACTTTTCTGGATTTACAAATGCTCAAACCAAAATTTGAATGCCAAGGATGTATAAGATTTATTTCCCAAACACATGAAGTGCTATAAGACTTAAAGATATGGATGAAGCTGACCAAATATTTAGCCATATGTTCCTGAAGATTTCAGCTGACTATATATAGTTTCCAGTGCAAAGAAGTCTAATTAGAAGAGACAATTATGGGATAAATGGCAGAACAAATAGAATTCATGACTCAATAGACGGAAATCAGCTGGATAATTTTCTGTCTTAAAGCTAGTAATGAAATACAGGAGATGAATCTGGAATTTCCAGACTTTAAGCTGTGATTACGATAGCATTAGTATTTTCGTCATATTATCCTCAATTTTTTTTACAAATTCTATAACAATCTGAAACGCTAGATGATATTTTTCCCTTATGATTTATTAATTTACGGAGTAAGGTATTTCTCAATCTTGTTATTTGTCAGATGAAATTGGATATTTTTTTTTCATGTCACATCCTGGATTTCACGATTGGGTGGGTGGCATACCTGTTTATATCTCTTTGATTTGGAGTGCTGTATTATCTTACCTGGTAATCATAGTCAATCAATTCTGGGAAAAGATAAAGGAAAGATTTTTTTTAGCATTTAAGTTGATAGATATAACTGTACAATGTACTTTACATTATGTAAATGTCTTGTAAATTAGTTTTTAGATATAAAACCGTTACAAAACCCAGGAAATTCAGTTACAAGGGTTGTGAGTTGTTAAAATTAGTTCCACCAAGGCATAAAACCATTACAAATCCTGGAAATTCAGTTACAGGGGTGTGTGACTAAAAGATTAGTTGATAAATCATTATGCTGAAAGAAATTGAACACAAAAATTTCATTTTTTTTTAAGAAATGAATTTTATGTAATCCATTCTGGTGCGGGTGGAACTTGTGTGTCCTGCCCCACTTCCACATCCTATCGAACATTTTCATATTTTTGAAATTGAAGTTATTAATTATTACAAATGTCACACATGATCATACATGTTCATTTACCAATTTTGTTACTTTTTAAGATTTTTTGTCCAAAAATGTGTGTGAACATAGTGAAAGGTTATTGAGCATGAGTTAAGCCTTAAATACAAAAAAGATATATCAAAGTCATTTGTTTTCTTGAAGGGTGGAGAGAGCAAACAATTTTCTTTTCTGTTGTTGAAAATTTCATAGTTGAAAAAAAAGAGGAAAATTAAGAAAGAAAGAGGCGATGATTTTCAGGGGCAGATCCAGGATTTTAGGTTAGGGGGTGCGCAAACTTAAATTTTTTGAGGTAAAATTATCAATATATTCTTTATTAAGCTGAGGACAACCCATGCTTTGAAAATTTTAGGGGGGGCACACGCCCCGCCCGGATTCGCCCCGGATTTTAAATTAAATTTGAGGAGTTAAACTATGTACATGTAAATCTGAAGAACAACAAATTAATTTGTTGTGGCCTAAACGTATAATTGTATAATACTATATGGATGAGTCAGTATAGTAAAGCACATATTAACCAACTTATAAATTGATCTTAGTATTTGCCATACTATAAAGTGTCAATAAACACTTCACATAACCAAGGACGGTAAATTTCAGAGTAATTATTTATCCATTACATAACTAATCTGTTAATGTCACATTCATGTACATGTACTTTTGTAGACATATTTGCACTTAGGAGTATTTAGCTGAATTATGCTGTAAAAGACCCTAGACCTCTCTCCCAATAACCTTCTAGAGTCATGCAACCATATTTTTAATTTTGACGTCAAATGATTTAAATTTAAATTGTGACGCAAAATTTTGTGGGAACTTTGGGTGTTTGATTTTAAGTAAATGTCGTCAAATTTGCATATATAAGTGCAAATACGTCTATTTTAGAGTCTCTGCAAATATCAAAATAATCATCGTAAACAATGTATCTAGGAGTTTCTGTGATAAGGAAAGTTTTTACAACTGGGTTTCGTGTGTACTGAGGGCGAATAAAAGTGAATTAATTTTTTGAGATGGACATGGTTTTATTTTTTTTTTTAATTTAGGATGGCTGGAATGACTTCAGTACTTAAAGGGTGTTTTTCGTCAAATTCAAAGCATGGTGTTTAATTGGGTTTAAAATTTAATTAAAAGAACACATGTACATGTAAGAAGAAAGTCTTTAACTTAAAGAATGAAGGGCAAAATTAGTGCATGGTTAGGCCTTGTCGGACAAGTTGGGAGGAAAATGTATGATATCTATTTCCATATGCGCACAACACATTTTCCTGGATTATTTTTCATCAGATCTTAGGATTATATGTGATAAAAAAAAACTTATATATTTGAGGAAATAGTTATTTAAATTCTTTTAGAAAGAAAAAGAAAAACATTCATTTTTATGTTTATTGCTGATTATACATGTAATATCAATTACCAAGATGATCTTAAAATTCAGTTCAATACATTTCAGACAGACATGCTCCTACAAAATAGATTTCTATTCAGGTTCAGTACTGGAAACACAATAGACGTACTTTAAATACTTTGCCTTATAAAGTTTAATTTTAGAAACATGTACCTCCCCTCGTAAATCTTGAAACACCATACTTTAAAATATTTGGTGTTATAAAGTGTAATTTAACTTACATGTACCTACCCACCCTCATAAATCATAAATTCTACTTTTCTTTTGTTTATATTTTTTGGTTGAATTAAAGTTTTCTTTATACTGGTAGGTAAAAGAAATATTACAAATTATATATAAATATATATATGAAAGTTCATGCAAATGAATTTTTTTTTTATATAAAACTTTGCTTTTAATTGATCCAAGATTGCAGCAACAATTTTAACCTTCTAATTCCTGAATTTATTGAAATATGCCATACAAAACCAAGAAAACATATACAAATAAGCTCTCAGTGTGCACGCCGTATTACTAGGTATCAGTAGGGTAAATTTATACATTAGGAACTGAGTTCTGGATTGCTATAAAAAGAATTGTTTGGCTACCAGATGTCTAAGTTTTCAATTGACATTCCAATACAATGGATTTTGTCAATATATACAGCAGATTTTGATATTGTGCATCTGCTGTTTACATAGCCAGCAATAGGGTATGTATGTGTGGGCAGTTGCATCTACAGTGTATCATGTATTCTATCATAGTATGCATAATTTGTGAATATGGTGACAAATCCAAGCACTTAAGAGATGGCACACTGCCCTGCAGTACCAGGAACAACCGTTTTCAGTCACTTCATCATTAATTCCGTCCTTGAACCCTACTGTACATGTACATATATGATCAATTCATTTTGGTTTGGTCAGCTTCCAATAGGGGAAAACTACAACATAATACAAATTACATGTATATACTCACTTGTGATGTCTTGAGATGGCTTAAAATATCAGGTGACAAAACATGAATTTATTGAAAACTGACCATATGATGAAGAAAAATTGATTTAACACCAAATTGTAGAAAACTGAGGAGCTAACAAGGCTTATTTCAACGATCCAATTATCCTTAATATGCATGAAATATTTGCCACTGGCATTCAGCAATCATCAATCAATCATTAACAGTACCAAGCAACTATAGTAATGGGGGTGTTTCCTATCTCATCGTTTGATTTCCTCTGTACAATAAATGTACCATCGCATTCCTCATATATCTGGAATAAAAAGAATTATCCCCCACTTAATCTACCAAGATTTCTTTATAAAAATTTTGGAGCCTGCACTGTATTTAGCCCCTGATATCAGTCAGTATACCCCCAAGGCTCTAGAACATCATCCATATTTCAGATCTTTACAATGTACAAGTATTGTTTTGTACATGTATCACCCAGTAGCAATAATAGAATTAGAACTGGCAACGGTCCAAGTCGTAAATAAAATTATTTCTGCATGGAGGAATTTACAATGTGTATATGTTACAGATAAAAAAAGTTGATGACTGTTTAATTTCAGAAGCAGCATGTTCATTTTGACCTTCCTATGAACTATTGGACATTATTGGACAAAGAAAATTGTACATTTCAAGATTTTTCAATTTTGTAAATCACTTTGAAAAAAATTCTATGAAAAAAAATTCTAGTTGGAACTTAATCTTTAAAAGTGACAATCCCAATCAGATTTCTGTGGTTTTTGCTATTTCACTAAAGTAAAGATAATAAATTGAAAAAGCCCACTCATACATATGTTTGTACTTTAATTGTTTCATTATTAATATTAACATTATCAATATTAACTTAGAAAAACGTAAAACTATGGATGGTCATGGTTGAATTGAAATTAATTAGGGTAATAATTTTGAATTGGTCAGTTTTACATGATTTTAAAAGTTCATTTGGTCTGTGTACAGGTTCTGAACTTGACATAAGAAATGGTATATTAATCATGCCAGAACCAAGAGTTTTTGGTGATGTGCAAACTTTCTAGGGTGAGGAGTTAAAGGGCTTTGGTCATTGTTGAAGGCCGTACGGTGACCTATAGTTGTTAATTTCTGTGTCATTTGGTCTCTTGTGGAGAGTTGTCTCATTGGCAATCATACCACATCTTCTTTTTTATACCTAATGGTTTTCTATTGCACCCCTTGCAAACCCCATGTGTATGGGCCTGAAAGTCTTTTTTGTGTCTAAACATCTCTTTAAAAAAGTCACTTAATGTATTTAATACAATTTTTATATTTTTACAGGAAGATGATGATCGAGACTCAGGTACTGAATCTGATGAAGAAAACGAAGATGACTGTATAGAAGCAGGTGAGAAAGGGAAATACTCAAAACAAGTTACATTGTTAACATATATACAGTAGGAAAGGAGCATCTTAAATCCATCAATAGATGTATTTAAACTTTTGGGTATTTAGCTGATTTCGCTCTGAATAACTCTAAATCTAGCTCAGAAAACCTTTTGAAGTCATGCAACAATCGCTTTTCAATTATAATGTCAAATGTTATTATTTGTGATGCAATTTTTGTGGGAACATTTGTAACTTTAAATAATTCAGACAAATTTGCATACAGGTGTACATATATGTCTATTGTGCACATCTGTAAAAGTCATTCCTATCTCTATACTTGTATTTGAATAATTTTTAATTTTCTTAAATTGTTATAAATATATTTTGTATATGTGTATAGCGATTAGGATGTCCATTTTTTCCTCCTTCCTTCCCGGTTCGTATCCATTACTGCTTCTGAATTTTGTTTCTTTCTTCATTTATTTCAACAGTTGGTACCACCATAAATTACTTTCTTTTGATAATTTTCATGTGCATGATCTTTAAGTCTTAAAGTTAAAAGTTTACAAGAAATTTGCAATTAGGGCATATACTTTAATTTTTGATATATAACAATGCATTATACACACACATAGAATGAAGATCATTTATGAACTTTAGATAAATAAAAGTTAAATGGTGATTTTTTTTTTTTTAAATTGGATGAGAAATGATTTGAAAATTATTTGATTTAAGGAAATGAAGAAAAAAATGAATTACTTTATTCTGACTAATAAAAGCTAAAATTCACTCTACTAATGAACATGCAGTGTTAAATTGATTGTAGTCAGGTGTTTGGTTTGTAAGTACAGCCATTAACTTGTTCTTTATTATAAGAATTATGGGAAAAAGTCATTGTTGTAAACCATTGATGTCAAGCCCACTTATCTCTCCTCTTCCTCAGCAGACGGATATTGAATCTGTAATGATGATAATGGTCCAAGCACATGGTTGAAAGAATTAAAGTGCTCCGACTTTTAATGAGTGGGGACAAAATGAAGCTGTGTGGCCTTCAGGCATTTTTTAAAATATCACATCTGTTATATATTTGTCATTCGGGTATAAAGAATTGTATTGAGATTTTGTTAAAAATCAGTCGTTAACTGATTAAAAATTAATGTTCAATAACGGTTTTATTGTCTGGTATAAAGTTACCTGACAAACAGGTTATTGAGTGAAAAGGGGAGGTAATGATGGCATGACACGCTAGGATTTGACCCCAGTCTTTGTCCTTGCTACTGACCAAAGTGATACAATGAACCTGCACAGTTAAATCAATTAGCCGAACGATCAATACATTCTTCCGATATGCAGTCAATACACTTGTATGATGATATCTTGGTCTGATAATAATTAAATGTGTCAGCAAAATTAACCTTCACAGTCAGAACAAATTTTTTTACCATACCTTGGGAAAGAATTCTATTAAAATCAGAAAAAAATTGTTAAATACATGTACATGTACGCATGAACAGTGAATCCTGTTGATATCTTGGTCTGATGATAATTTAAAAATGTGTCAGCAAAATTAACCTTCACTGTTTGAACAAATTGTTTCCTCATACCTTTGGAAAGATTTCTTTTAAAAACATAAAAAAATCATTAAATACATATACACTACAGTGAACCATGTCTTCACAGAACCCCTTTGGACAGAAATAGGTGTTCAGAGAAGACAGTTGTTTTGTTTACAGAGCTAAAGTTACAAAACAATGTAGTGAATGTACTTTGGAATGTAATTTAAAAAGAAACCTAATGCCATATTAAAAAAAAAAATCATTGCGTACATGTATCTTGATACAAGAGTTTCTGGTTGAACTGAATAGTTCTGTTAAGCTAGGTTTTATATGTTAGATTTTGTTATTTGTATAAAAAATTAAAGTTTTGAAGAGGAAGAAATTATTGAATAAGTAGTTTTAAGAACTGGGTTCTTGTGTGTTCTTCCATTCATTGTTGTTGACCGGGTATCTCTACAATGTACAGTCTATGCATATAAATAGAACCATATGCTGTAATTTTTACCATGGGGCTATCTGAATAGATTTTGTGGTGCTATAATTTTAGGGAAACAGTGCTATTTTTTTATTCTTTTTCATGGTGGTAGATGAAAATACTGTTGAGGTTACTGCCTTGTGACTTAGTATGTTAAAAGTCTGATTCAGATTTAACATCTTAGTTTAGTACAAAGCAGAGCATTTGCATATCACATTAACAATGTTATCAATCTGAATACATTTATGCATATATATTTGCCATTCTGTCCTAAATCAGTCATCAATCAATATATTAAAATACAATTATATTTAAAAAAAAAAACCTTTATTACAACTTTTTGGTTTTCAGATGAATTTAATAATAATAAATGTAGACGATCTTTACCAATACCTGTAAACCAGAATTCAACGATATGGGGGTCAACACATGAAATCAGCGAGCATAACTTGGACAGAATAAGTTGTACATCTGACTACAACTTGGACAGTATTAGTTGTACGTCTGACTACGAAAGACAAAGTTTAGACTTTGAGCATCATAGCTCAGAAGAGGAATTAGAAATTCTTCATAAGGAATTTGTAGCAGAGAAACGAAAGCGTTTACAGCCACATCGACATTGTGATAGTGCGTCAGATGAGGAAGTGAAAGAATTCATGTTACAACCTCAGCCCATTAATTTCAGCTCTTCCCCACCAAAAGTTGTTCACACACAAATTACTCCTGTAACAGTGATGACGATATCCTCACGGAAACGACATCGTCAGAATACTACCTCTGATTCACCTATGGACTCTTCTCTTCATCGACCCTCTTTAGATTTTGAAAAAATGCAGGTACTAATTTAATAATGCATAGAATTTAGTATCATTTCGGAAAAATCTGGCTCCATAATCAACTCAATCCATATTGACTTACACTTGGCCTTTGCCTTTATTTTGCTCCAATATAAAAGCACCCTGTCGTAACATTTGTATATGAAAACAATGCTACAATAGACCTGGTTTATATACCAAAAACTAACACCCCAAAAAAAAGACATCTACATGGTTAAAGAATTTAACTCATTTTAAGTCATTAGTGACAATTTACATTTTATTTTTGTTCTATATTTGTTTATAGTACTGATGTAATTTAAAAATTTGTTTATAGAACTTATGTAATTTGAGGATTTATATTTGAATCAGTTGACACATGCATGTTTTACATATCCTGTCTATTTTAATTATTTTGTATTTTGCCAATGGCCTTGGCTTATAATTAATGAATTATCAAACAGTAAAACTCTCTGTTATTTTTAGGATGGGACTGTTAACTTACAAATAGGGCATTGTTGCTTTTTATAACATGATTAAAGAAAATTATTATAAACCTTGTAATTTTGACTATAAAAAAATTGATGTTCGATAGTCAATGTTAAAAACTGCAGCTTTTTTTTACCTACTTTGCTTATGTTATATAGGGTCCTTGTCTTTTTTTTACAATTTGTATTTGTTTATTTATTGAACAGTAATTGGAAGTAGTTTTGGTCCTGAAAATGCATGAAATATTTGCCACTGGACATTAAGCATTAACGAATAATGTACATAGAAGTGGGGCTGAAAGTCCTCATGTACCATGCATTGTCTTTTCCAAAAAATATTTCATTGATTTGATTATAGTCTTGCCTTTGTTTTCAAATTAATTTAGCCCCCAAACAAAGAGAACTGAAGACATGTATTATTTAGATAGGTACAAATTACATGTTTCTATCTCTTATTTATGTAGATAATGGAATGTCACCCTCTGGCCTCAAAGGAAGTTGATAGATTTAGAAGTATATGCAATTTTGGTTATAAATAACTGTATAAGGCTTGAGTGGGTGGTATATATACGTAAATGTTTGGTTGACCTTGGCAAGATTTCTTTTACATACCATAAGATCAGCAACAAACTTCGATAGATATCCTTATGTAGGAGTATTAATTTAGTACACGATACCTTCTTATTGGATATTATTGATTCCGAACTTGAATCATTGCCAGTTTTTACATTAGTCGATTTAGCTCCTAATTTACTGATTTTTTTCGAAGGCAGTTGTCAATACTTGAGAACCAGTGACATCCGTTTTATCACTTTGCTTTGTCCATCATTGGAGATAAAGTCTCCGGTCATTATGTCTTAATTAAAGGCAGTGTGTCACCTGAAGGCAGCCTGACTCTGTTACTATAAATAGATTTCTTTGTTGTGTCACAGTAGATGACACTTTATTATTTTTATTTTGTTTTGGGGTTTAGAGAAGAGAGTTAAAGGAAAATTTTGTTTAAATTGACTTGCATATTATCTTTTTTTATGGGATATTCGTTGTCCCTATTAATAGATATATATATATATAAAATTTAAAGAAAAAGATAATTATAAATCTTGTAATTGGGACATTAATTTAAAGATTAAACAGTCTTGACGCTATTATCTGAGCAAAAAGGGGGAGTTCCAACTTCCAATTCTGTTTTGGTTGATTTTGATGTGTTTTTATCATTCACTTTAACAATAAAAAGTAAAAACAATATTTAATCTAAGCTATGGGTTTGCATTGTTAGCATGCCTCTAGTCACGGAATCAGCTAAATTAAAAGATCTCAAAAATTTAAAAAAACTATGAATTAACGCTTCATACACCAATGATCTTCTACGGTGGTCTTCATGAAGAAGGATGATTTTTCTATGCCTATGGCCAATAGTTACATCACACCTATAAATTACAAATAATCTTAATTGTTTCCTGTACAAAAAAAAATAAAAAACAATCAATTTTTCTTACATTTCTCAAATTGTTATGATTTGTTTGCTGATATAGTATATGTTTTTAAATTTCTTAGGAGGGGTATACCCCTGTCTGTTCTTATGTCCGTCAGTAATGACTTAATTTGGCAGATTAATTTTTCTCCAACTTCCTGTTTACTGAATACTTAAAGTGGGTTATCAGTAGTGAGCAACAGCTCACAGTTCTACTTACTTGTTAAGTGTAGAGTGAAACTGGGTGATTGCTAGTGATTAAGAGTTATTACACTCTTTGTTGGACTCTTTCGTATAATATGTAGTGAATATATATTAAAATACAGAGAAATATTTCAGAGCGTATCGCCGGGATCGCCTGTGCATAATCACTACAAAATGTATTTAATTGGATCAACTTATGCACACTGTATTTCAACTTTCCCAAGGTTGCTATCTAAAGTTTTTGCTAAAAGAATTAGAAATCCTACCGGTTTTAATATCTTTGAACATGCGTTATCAAGTCCTTGGCATTGGGAACGCAGTCAGTAAAATTGCAGTTGAAGTGGTTCTTTAATTTTCTCTTTTTGATGTATGGCTTTCCTGGGTGAAATAGAGATTGATTTTACTGTTAGGAAATAGTTTTATATAAAACATTGTTCCAAGATTGATTAGACGAATTAATCTTTTCAACAAGTTGATGTCTTTCTGACCTTTTTCTTAGAGGAAGCAAAAGAAGTCTTAAAAATTCTATTCTTGGAGGTAGTTCGGTAAACAATAGAAAAAGATCTAAATGGCTTATTGTAAATATAGATTTAATTTCATCTAATATCAATAGGTGTAGAAACCCATCAAAGATACCAGGCTTATAATTTGTTACGCCAAATACGTGTTTCATCTACATAAGACTCATCAATGGCGTTTGAATCAAAATTGTTTAAAGTCCAAATAGTTTTATTTAGCTTATAATGGATTTTTTTTTTGTGGTCATAAAGGAAGGTAGTTGAAGAACTGTAAATCTAATGGTCCTTGTAAAAATTTTGTAATTTGCAGACTCTATGGTCTGCAAAAATCAGAAATGAGCACAGGACCAAAGGGCTACTGTTGAGGAAAATATATGTGTCTGTTGAGATTTTATTGTGTTGATGGGTTGCTCTCTCATAGTCATATAGGCTAGGTGACTAGGTCTATTGTGTTTTCATAATGATCTTGTTGATATTGATTTTCTTCTGAAATTTGGACCAAAAATAACAAGTCCATGCTTGGATCAACTTGAAAAAGTAGTGAAAAGCTGAAATAAGTTTTAATGATTTATGATGCTATTTCCAGAAGAAATCAAACTTTTCAATTAAATTCAAAAAGACATTACTCAGACGATTTAACATATCATAAAAAACAAACGTATAGAATGAATATTTTGTATATAATATGTAAATAAAATGACAGTAGATATGAAAAAGCATTCAAATATATGTATAATAGGAGACATTTATAGATAAGGTTGTATATATTTTGTTACAGTAACCCATGAATTAATTAATTTAATGACTGGATTATTGTATGAAAATGCAAGAGACCAAATATATTAGCAATGCAAATATCACTTCTTTTTCAGTTTTTAAATTTTTTTCTTCAGAAAAATGCAGTTAAAAAACAGTGTACTCATGGCATAGGTAGAGCAAAAATTGTTAAAATTAAGGTAAGTTCAACCTGTTTGTAGTTAATGTTACAATTCATGGCCTTGAAGTAACAAATCCAAAAAATATGTCAGCTTTCCAGGACAGAGTGGACAGCACATATTGTTTGCCCACTACATGTATGTGTTCCCACTCCCGTTGTTGAGGGTTCGAGAGAGCAAATTCACCAGATGTAGAAATCATGTACAGTGACTTTGGACAATGTCTTATTATAGTTTGGAAACAAAAACTCAAAGCATTTGTGTACAATGCATATGTTACATAATGTATTACACTCATCAAAATATTTAAGGAATGACTGTAATATTTTTTCTGTCTATGAAGAAATAACATCAAAAATATGGTGCACACTGAATAACCTGCGTAGCGAGTTATTTAAAAGTGTGCACAACATTTTTGAGGTAATTTGTCACATGACAAAATAATGTCAATGAGCTGATAGACAAAAAACTTTCAGCCAATCAGAAGACGTGTTACATCCAAAATTAAATCATTTATATGTAATGACCATAACTTTTCTAAAACGTATAATTCATGTTGTATCACATCAAATTGCCTTGTTTTCATATGAATCCCACCTGAAAATGTTCATGTTTTTTGGAAAAAAAACACTTTTTAAATGCTCATCAATGTAAGAAAAGTCAATATTCAGTTTTAGTACAACGATGTAAACATCAGTACTTTAAACATTTGAAATACAATAACTTAAAAAAAACTACAACGAAAACAGGCAATTGTCTCTTCTCTTTATATTGATGTATTCATGTAGATACTAAATATATCATGTATATTACTCCATTGTTTTTGACTTTGGACATGAAAATTGAATTGATAGGTAGAAAAAAGGAAATATATTAGTACCTATATAAATGGGATTTTTTACTATTTAGTTATTCAGTCTTTGATCATTTAGCCAGAGAATGTCGAACACTTGTATGGTAATTTGGGCAGGTTTGGTTTGTTTTTTAAATGTCTCTATGTATGATTTATATGATAATTAAATTTTATGGATGATTTCTTAAGGTGTAGAAAAACTTGGTCAATGAACTAAATTACCTGTTGTGGAAGTCAATGATACTTGTTTTTAACAATACTTCAAAATGACAAATGTACTGTGGTATTTATATATAAATCAATTAGAAAGGAAACAAATGTACTTTCGGTATAGTATCGGGAAATGGCATGAACGGAAGTATACAAAGTGCCTCTTCCATTCAGTACTTTTTGGGAAATTTGTCAAATTAGCAAAAAATAAAACTGAGAATTTGAAATTTTACGTTTTTTAACTGAATAAGCTAGTACTTGTCCCAAATTTAGTCCAATTTTGTGTGAAAAGTCAAATGTGAAAATGTATGAAATTTATGTTTTCTGGTAGGAGGAGGTTTCATTGAATTTCTTTTGCATTGGAAATCCTGTGAGTGTGTCCTTAAAGAAAAAAAAAGAAAATGGCAGTTGCCTTATATATGATTAGAGGAATACAATGTATTAGCTATCCCAATTTTTGTTAGCAGGAGATTTTGAATATATGTATATTACTTGAAGAAAGTATAAAATTGAATATTAACATCAGTAATTGAATCGCATTGTTCACTTGTAAAATCCATTGGGATTTTCGTGATGAGAAAATACTGTATAATCATATTCAAGATGTCACAAATGAAAAAAAAAATGTAGACAAAAAAAAATGGTCAATATGTAACACTAAATGTTTTGAAACATGCTTTGAATTTTAAAATTGAATGACATATGTCGGTGACATGCCAGTGGGTAAAAATAACTGGAAATTTCTAAAGAGTTAAGCGAGTGTAAATATTCATCTTTGATGCTAGTTTTCAAATATAAAGAGGAAAAATGTTTTATTAATATGATTATCAACTTACAAATATTTTATTAAAAAATTGTTCATACATGTAAATAGATTACCTTTATATTGATTAATTATTGTTGTTGAACCAGGCAAGTGTAAACTGTTCAGTTTAAATAGTTTAAGGTGAATCAAAATAGATGAAATATGGTGCTGCAATAAGCTGACATTCACTACAGCTTAATAGGTCAATTTTTATCATCCACCTGCCCACTTTGGGTGGTGAACTTCTGCTCTCTCCAACTTATACTAAGATTTTGTAGAAATATTTGAATGTCCTTCTGAAGAAATATATACAATGTATGTGCAAGTTTTATGATGCAAGAAAAGATGAGGAAAAATTATTCCCAATCTGATAAAAATACAAATCCTGCACCCAAGCTTTGCTTGTAAGGATCTGAAAACACTCGGTTTTATTTTCTGTTCTGGTTATTATTACATTAAATTTCAGCCTTCAAATTTTTTAAGGTGTGTATTAATCCTAAAAAACAGAGGATCCCGAAAGGTCTTCAAAATAGAAAGAAGATTGTAACATTTTCAGATCCTTGTAAGCAAAGCTTGGACATAGTTCCTGTATTTGAATCAGATTGGATTATTCCATAAGGGTGGATTAGCAGAGATTAAGAGATGCACAGCTGCCTTTTTTAGGAAAAAAATCTTGATCTCTGGTTTAAAAATTGTTCTGCCCATTGTTAATTTGATAAAAAATTATGTATACATCAATATCAAACATAACATACATATATATTGTTTGTTTATAAAATATATTTATAGAAAACATAATTTAACTCCTACAACAAAAAATAATTCTAGATGCCCCTCCTCAAGATGTCAAATGGTTGGTGCCATGTATAAGAAATAGAGTGAGACAAAAGACTTGTAGTACAACTTGTAGACATGTTCTGTCACTTAAAGACTCCTTTAAATTTGTTTTATTTTCAAAACCCTTGAAACAATTTATTAAAAATTTCTACATGAAATTTTAATTTAAATTGTTTACTGACACAGCAGGTATAAGATTGTGTGGGTTTACCCTTGTCAGTCAAATATTTCAAGACAAGATTGATATTGTGAAATAAACGGACCTTTATCACACAAATAGTGTCAAGAGTTTTTGTTTTACATATATTGATACAATGTATGTGCTTTACTTAGTAATATAAGATAGTTTTTAATTGGCCTTTTTTCCCTCTTGTCTGAGGGCAATACATTTGAATAATTAAAGATATGGGGTATATATATATTTCAATGACACAATAAACCCAATGTCATTTTGAGGTCGTCTTACTTTTTTGTTGCTTTTTCCACCCCTTCACTGTGCCAGGATAGCTCATTATGGCCAATCAAGTCTTTATCACTTATTTAAATACTATAAGTTATATGTTTTGATTTTACTTACCCTCTATGAATCTGTAGGGGGTCAGTAATTAACAATACAAAAAAATTATCACACACATGACTTTTCCTGCCAACTTTTGTATAAAGATAAAGAATGAAATACATTAATAGATGAAGTCACCATTATGAGAAGATGTGATGTCATGAACCCCATATGAAAAATGACCCCCATACGGATCCATAGGGGTCATCATGTGACGGCGTTCAACCAATCAAAGTCAGTAATTTACAGAGGTGCAATAAAAAAAGAACATGCATGTTCTTTCCAGAGGATTGTCAGGGTGGATAAGTTAAAAGTCATGCCTATCTTAGGCTCCCACTGTGGAAAAAGAATATTAAACTTGGCTGTAGTGAATGTCTTTGATAACCTGTTTTGGGACTGGCAGAAAGTTTTCAGCCTTTTGATACATAATTAGAGATCAGTTCAAAATCAGGCCATTGAATGACAGAGTAATTGCAGGCTTTGCATGTTTATAGAAGTATAAAATTGTCCTGGTAGCCTTTATTGGTTTGTTTCAACTGTTTTGCATAATTGTGCATTAAAGTCTTGAACGAATAGTATACATTTGATAGGAACTGCCAGAGTATGCATTGTACATGCAAAAATAGATTTTTGTGAAAACATTTACACATGTAGATAAAAAGTAGAGAGAGAGAGAGGGAGTGAGAGTTTATAAAGATGAGAACATGGAGAGAGATTATATACATGTATACATGAGACCTTATTGTAATGGACAGATTTACTACATGTACATGTATCCTGGGGATAGAGAGATTAACATACATCTAATTGTAAAATTGAGTCTGCGTTGTGAGATTAACACACGAGTAGACCCTTTTATACCAATACATATATATTTAAAAAGTAAAATAACAAAAATACCAAACTCCGAGGAAAATTCTAAATGGAAAGTTCCTAAGTAAATGGCAAAATCAAAAGCTCAAACACATAAAAAGGAATGGATAACAACTGTCATATTCCTGACTTGGTACAGGCATTTTCTTGTGTAGAAAATGGTGGATTAAACCTGGTTTTATAGCTAGCTAAACCTCTCACTTGTATGACAGTGGCATAAGAGAGAGAGAGATTTAGATACTAGTCCATGTGATGATTACAGCTTGTCACTCAATAATAATAGATTGTTTAAGTATTAGACACTTTTACCCCACAGATTTCTTTATTGATCATAATATTTTTTCCTTTGTTTAGAATCAGTGATCATTCTTACTTTTACTGATGGTACATGGTTATATAAATATTTTTTAATCTCCTTTAGACCTTGGGTCAATATATAAAAAAATATCAGGTGTTTGTTTACTTGGAAATTTTCCCATGTCACCCTGATCGGACTGATACTCCAATTGATACCAGTTTGATAATGTCTGATATAAATTCGATCAGTGAAGTGGTGTATGGAGTGCAGTTAGGATTAGAATTTTTGATAAAATTCAATGATTTGATAAAAATTTAATGTTACAGTATGGAGATAAAAACATACTGTAGTATTTAAATAAGACAGCAACGTAATTGCTTATAAATATTGATAAAATTCAGTAATTTTATCACATCCAGTGTTTCATGCGTAGATATTGACTGTCTCATCATTTGGGCTTTCAGTGGACACTATTTATTGACTGTATTCTATATTTGCAGAAAAAAGCTGATAAAATTATATACTTTATGCAAATTATGTTAAGATACACCCATAAAAGAACCAGTAACATGATAAAAACATTGGA